TCGTGTTGCAGTCGAAACGTCGTGACATGTTTTATTTTTTTATTTTATTGTTTTTCTTCTACGTGGCTTTACGTGTGAAAAACAGCAAGAAATTTTTGGAAAATTTTCTTGCCGTGTTTTTCACACCCGACGATGATTGCTCGTGTTGCAGTCGATACGTCGTGAGAATTTTTTTTTTTCATTTTTCGTCTACGTGAATTTAGGTGTGGAAAACAGCAAGGAACTTTTTCTAAATTTTTGAAAATTGTCTTGCTGTGTTTTTCACAGCTGATGATGATTGCTCGTGTTACAGTTGAAACGTCGTGACATGTTTTATTTTTTTATTTAATTGTTTTTCTTCTACGTGGCTTTAGGTGTGAAAAACAGCAAGACATTTTTGGAAAATTTTCTTGCCGTGTTTTTCACACCCGACGATGATTGCTCGTGTTGCAGTCGAAACGTCGTGAGAAATTTTTTTTTTATTTCATTTTTCTTCTACATGAATTTAGGTGTGGAAAACAGCAAGAAAATTTTTCTAAATTTTGGAAAATTGTCTTGCTGTGTTTTTCACAGCTGACGATGATTGCTCGTGTTGCAGTCGAAATGTCGTGAGAAATTTTTTTTTATTTAATTGTTTTTCTTCTACGTGACTTTAGGTGTGGAAAACAGCAAGAAACTTTTTCTAAATTTTTGAAAATTGTCTTGCTGTGTTTTTCACAGCTGATGATGATTGCTCGTGTTACAGTTGAAACGTCGTGACATGTTTTATTTTTTTATTTAATTGTTTTTCTTCTACGTGGCTTTAGGTGTGAAAAACAGCAAGACATTTTTAGAAAATTTTGGATAATTTTCTTGCTGTGTTTATCACACCTGACGATGATTGCTCGTATTGCAGTCGAAACGTGAGAATTTTTATGTTATTATTATTTTATTGTTTTCTTCTACGTGACTTTAGGTGTGAAAAACAGCAAGAAATTTTTGGAAAATTTTCTTGCCGTGTTTTTCACACCCGACGACTGATTGCTCGTGTTGCAGTCGAAATGTCGTGAGAATTTTTATTTATTTCATTTTTCTTCTACGTGACTAGGTGTGAAAAACAGCAAGAATTTTTTTCAAAATTTTGGAAAATTTTCGTGCTGTGTTTTTCACACCTGACTGATTGCTCGTGTGGCAGTCGAAATGTCGTGAGAATTTTTATTTTTTTTATTTCATTGTTTTTCTTCTACATGATTTTAGGTGTGAAAAACATCAATAAAATTTTTCTAAATTTTGGAAAATTGTCTTGCTGTGTTTTTCACAGCTGGCGATGATTGCTCGTGTTGCAGTCGAAACGTCGTGACATGTTTTATTTTGTATTTTATTGTTTTTCTTCTACGTGACTTTAGGTGTGAAAAACAGCAAGACATTTTTCGAAAATTTTGGATAATTTTCTTGCTGTGTTTTTCACACCTGACGATTGCTCGTGTTGCAGTCGAAACGTCGTGAGAATTTTTATTTATTTCATTTTTCTTCTACGTGACTAGGTGTGAAAAACAGCAAGAATTTTTTTCAAAATTTAGGAAAATTTTTCGTGCTGTGTTTTTCACACCCGACGATTGCTCGTGTTGCAGTCGAAACGTCGTGAGAATTTTTTTTTATTTCATTGTTTTTCTTCTACATGACGAGGTGTGAAAAACAGCAAGAAAATTTTTCTAAATTTTGGAAAATTGTCTTGCTGTGTTGTTCACAGCTGACGATGATTGCTCGTGTTGCAGTCGAAACGTCGTGAGAATTTTTATTTAGTTTTTCTTCTACGTGACTTTAGGTGTGAAAAACAACAAGACATTTTTAGAAAATTTCGTATAATTTTCTTGCTGTGTTTATCACACCTGACGAGGATTGCTCGTATTGCAGTCGAAACGTGAGAATTTTTACGTTATTTTTTATTTCATTGTTTTTCTTCTACGTGACTTTAGGTGTGAAAAACAGCAAAAAAGATTTGGAAAATTTTCTTGCTGTGTTTTTCACACTCGACGATGATTGCTCGTGTTGCAGTCGAAACGTCGTGACATGTTTTATTTTTTTATTTTATTGTTTTTCTTCTACGTGGCTTTAGGTGTGGAATACAGCAAGAATTTTTTTCTAAATTTTGGAAAATTGTCTTGCTGTGTTTTTCACAGCTGACGATGATTGCTCGTATTGCAGTCGAAACGTGAGAATTTTTATGTTATTATTATTTTATTGTTTTTCTTCTACGTGACTTTAGGTGTGAAAAACAGCAAAAAATTTTAGGAAAAATTTCTTGCTGTGTTTTTCACACCCGATGATGATTGCTCGTGTTGCAGTCGAAACGTTGTGAGAATTTTTATTTATTTCATTTTTCTTCTACGTGACGAGGTGTGAAAAACAGCAATAATTATTTTTCAAAATTTAGGAAAATTTTCGTGCTGTTTTTCACACCTGACTGATTGCTCGTGTTGCAGTCGAAATGTCGTGAGAAATGTTTTTATTTTATTGTTTTTCTTCTACGTGACTTTAGGTGTGAAAAACAGCAAGAAATTTTTGGAAAATTTTGGAAATTTTTCTAGCCGTGTTTTTCACACCCGACGATGATTGCTCATGTTGCAATCGAAACGTCGTTAGAAATTTTAATTGTTTCATATTTTTTTATTTCCCTTCTACTTGATGACTTTTCCAAAAGAACCAAGAATATGAATCCCTGCAGTCAGGAAAGCTTCAAATCAAAATTTAGGTGTTAAGATGTTAAAACGCCCAACTGAAACCTCTTGCAAGGAATCGTGTCTGCATTATCCACAATATACTCGCGATCAATATGCAAACAAAACACATACTCATAATCAACGTTTTTGGGTTTAGATCGCGTTATTTATAAATCTAAACCCAAAAACGTTGATTATGAATAATATTGGTCGCGACAGCCTACGTGTTAAAACACATGCTGTGATAATCTGTACATTTTCTGTGAAACTTATTTGTCCACACCAGAGACGGCTTTCTTTCAAGCCTAGTCTCAAACGGTGTTAGACCAGAGGACAGCGCCAAAAGGCGTACACAGCACAAAGACAACACCACCATCAGAACAATGACAGCTCGGGGTGAGCAGCTACATCATGGGACCTCCTTTGCCAGTAGCAAATATAAGAAGAGACTTTTCCCCTTTTATCATTTACAGATTAGTACTATTTTTAGTCTTGGGATATTTTTTGTATACGGTTTCTCCGTGTTTATTTCAATTGGTTGGACTATCTCTAGCTCCACCCACCTACCTTGATGCACCCATCTCAGGCCTATATAAGACCTTGTCTCAGCAGCTTTCTCTCTCACCTCAAGACGATTGCTTGTGTTGCGATCGAAACGTCGTGATCTATTATTTTCTATGTACGTGACTTGATCGAAGGACCCAAAGAGTATAATTTCTACAGTCACGAAAGCTTTAAATTAATAAATAACTACGTAGTTTGAGAAGCTCCCAATGCACCATCGGAACCTCCTTTGCCAGTGGCAAAATATTATAATTAATTTTTTACCCTTTTATCTGGCAACAAAACTGACACCTTTTTTTTACAAGGAGTCATGTTTGCATTGACCAAGATACCTGCGGTCAGAATGCAAACAAAAACACAACTCTGATAATGTATGCACTGTCCTTGAAATTGATTGGTCCACACCCGAGACAGCTTTTCGTATAGCCTAGTCTCACATGGTGTTGGACCAGATGACCTCAAAAGGCGTACAACTCAAAGATAATGCACCATCAGAGTATGAGAGCTCGGGGTAAGCATTTACACCATTGGAACCTCCTTTGCCAGTAGCAAAATTTGATAATAGTTTTTTTTACCCTTTTATCTGGCAACAAAACTGACACCATATTAACTGCCCTACAGGTATGCTGCAGGGCAGTTAATAGATATTTTATCTGCAACAACGATAAGGTCGGAAGAGCGACCCCCACATGAATAGTTAGAACGCTGGGTTCCTAAAACCCAGCAAGACAGTGGGAAGCACAGCTGGTTTATCTGTCAGTCATCCCTTGACACCTGGATCATTCCCATGACCTGATGACAAGGAATCCACACTTACATGGCCTTAAATTGCACCTATCATGGCATTAGCACTGAGATAAGGTTACTTGCAATTTGTCATGAATGGTGTATTTTTGTTTATATATATTAATGATGCATGTGAAATGTAGTGTGTATTTTAGAGTTTATCTTTGTGGGGATCTGTGGTGCAGTTATTTCACTGCATTATGAACTCAACAATTAGTTTGATTATCACCGACAGCAAACATGATTGATAAGTGAAAGCTGAACTGCTTGTGGGCCTCTGCTATGTTGATTGATCTTAAATTAATTACATGGTGAAGTGAGGAAGCGTCAGTACTGAGCAGATGAAGGCGGCCAGGCATGGTTCTGGACACACCACCACTTTTTACCATGCCAGTGTGTGACAGTGTCAAGTTTGTATTTGCAGTAAATTATATTAACTATTGAATATGGAGGTTAAATCAAAACGATCGTTTATTTTAGTTTCCCTCTGGAACTTTTTGGAAGAATGGAAACAGGAAATTAACAGCACATATGCTGCTGAAGTTGTATATGTTCATTCAAGCAAATCTGAGCCTGGCTTCACACCTATAAAGTTGCGATTAAACATTTATTTATGCATTTCTGCATAATATAAATAGCATTATTCCCAACAGCCTTTGCTATGTTAGCTGATATTTGCTTTTATAAATACTACTTTTGCAGCCAGGCAGCCAAAATTGTGTGCTTGGTGTTTTGGGCTAACATGTATTTTGAAGATACTAGGGCTTTCAGGCATATTTATAACCATTTGCCCTCTTATTATCAGCCCGTGTGATGAATTAGGGATAATCTTGAATATATGGATAAATATAGATGCGTAAGTCATGTGTGACTTTGTATATATTCATTCCTCTGTGCCTCGATACTGATGAAGATGGTGTGGACATTTTTTTCTGTCCGCAGCTAATGCTTCTTTTGATGCTTCCTCTGCAGAATTGGTCTGATGGAGCAAAAGCACTCAGCGCAGCTCGGTAGACAAAGACAACGATGGGACCAGTATGCAAACAGCATGGATTGTACTGGAAATTTTACACAGGACCAGAGATCTCCAACGGGAGAGAAAGTCTTCAAGTGTACTGTATGTGGGAAGCAATTTTCAAGTTCATCTTATCTTAAAATACACCAGAGAACACACACAGGAGAGAAACCCTTCAAGTGCACTGTGTGTGAGAAGGCATTTACAAATTCATCTTATCTTAAAAAACACCAGAGAACACACACAGGAGAGAAACCCTTCAGGTGCACTGTGTGTGAGAAGGCATTTTCAAGTTCATGTTACCTTAAAATACACCAGAGAACACACACAGGAGAGAAACCCTTCAGGTGCACTGTGTGTGGGAAGGCATTTTCACGTGCATTGTATCTTAAAAAACACCAGAGGACACACACAGGAGAGAAACCCTTCAAGTGCAGTGTGTGTGGGAAGGCATTTGCACAGTCACCACAGCTTCATAGCCACCAGAGAACACACACAGTAGAGAAAGCTTTCAAGTGCACTGTGTGTGGGAATGCATTTTCAAGTTCATCTTATCTTAAAATACACCAGAGAACACACACAGGAGAGATACCCTTCAAGTGCACTGTGTGTGAGAAGGCATTTACATGGTCATCAGGTTTAAAGATCCACCAGAGAACACACACGGGAGAGAACCCCTTCAGGTGTAGTGTGTGTGGGAAGGCTTTTTCAAGTTCGTCTTATCTTAAAATACACCAGAGAACACACACAGGACATGAACCCTTCAAGTGCAGTGTGTGTGAGATGGAATTTTCACATCCATCAAATCTTAAAATGCACCGGAGAATGCACACAGGAGAGAAATCCTTTAAGTGCAGTGTGTGTGAGAAGGCGTTTTCAAGTTCATATTATCTTAAAATACACCAGAGAACACACACAGGAGAGAAACCCTTCAAATGCATTGTGTGTTGGAAGGCATTTTCAAGTTCATTTTATCTTAAAATACACCAGAGAACACACACTGGAGAGAAACCCTTCAAGTGCAGTGTGTGTGAGATGGCATTTTCAAGTTCGTCTCATCTTAAAATACACCAGAGAACACACACAGGGGAGAACCCCTTCAAGTGCACTCTGTGCGGGAAGGCATTTGAACGGTCACCACATCTTCATAGACACCAGAGAACACACAGGCATCAGAAGACCCCCAAGGAGTGTAGTCTGAAAACGACTTGTGAAAATCAGAGTGCTGCAATGAGCCCATCCCTCCTGAAAAAAGAACCAGAAGTAAATTCCAGCTTGGACACTATGAAATGTATCAAGGTGAAATTTGAAGAGGCGACGGTGAAGAGCGAAGAAGTGACAGTGAAGAGCGAAGAAGTGAAGATAAAATGTGAAGATGAAGATTCAACTCCAAAATCGGACCTTCACATCAATGGAGGCAACATGAAGCAGGAGGAGAATTCTGACTGTGAGGCAGAGCGAAGCAACTCCCAGCAGTTTGTGGAAGTGGAGGTGTGGGTGGACTTCTAAAACAATACAAAGTCAAATGGAGAACCTGTAGATGTGTAAGCTTGAGACAATGAAGCTCCAATAGATTCACATTTGTCACAGGCCTTTAATGAAAAGAACGTGAAGTTGAACACTCCATCCCTACGTTCAACCAGCAGAGTAAAAGCGCGGTCAGTATTTGTGGACCTGTGGGTTGGGTAGATCTCTAACTAGGATCAAGAGCCAATAAGCTCCCAAGCATTCACTATGTCATAATAATGTAATGTGAGGTTACACCTGGATGATAATGATTGGCTCTGCCGGCCTCAGCCCACAACCAATGGGGAGTCGAGCTAGGGGCCTGGCCTTGGAGCTGTACAGTAGCTTCTGGAAAGTTCCAGGGGTGTGGCAGAGGATTGGCTGCGGGGCATCACGTGTGCCAGGGATTAAAAGGGGCGGAGAAGGACAGCACGTGGTCAGTGTGCGGAGGAACGAAGGGGGAAGCCACGCTAGTGCCGTGGTCCAGGGCCTGCCACGTAGCGGGCCGCGGCAGTCTCTGTCTCCCTCTCACGCTGTCAACCAACAAGTTCATGTATTAGGTGTAGCCCTGTGAGCCATTCGGCTCTTGAATTGGGTGCAACCGCAACAAACAAAAAAACAAAAACATGAACAAGAAAACAGCTTAAAGTGAATATGTGACTGAGTGCAAACAGAAAATCCAAGAAGAGACAGCAAAATATTGCAGAAAAATCACCGTACACACCAACGCTGTGTGCAAAAATCCCAGTGGGATGCAAGTCAAACAACAACAACAACCAGAAGACAACTTAGATTAAGGCCATCAGTCTAACTCTGTACTACAACAAACAAACATAACTAAACCAATACACTTTTCGAAATCACCAAAATAAAGCCATGAAAGCAATGAAACAGTGATCATAGGAACTGTGACGGAATTTTCACAATAAACAACATGTACTACCAAAACCCTGCAGCCATAGCTGGCTGAATGACTCACTCCACAACAGCAGGAGCATCAATCGGAGTATTATAATTTTTCAATGCACCTTTAACAGCGTGAGAGGGAGCAAGAGAAGTGGAAGAACGAATGTAGTGAAAGCTGTGAACAAAACTTAATAAAGAATTCTCAATTCCCGACGTCTCAACGGGGTTTATTACATTGGAGTCAGAAGTCCATTTTGAGACCGCTTGGACCATCATCCACGATGTCCAAGCACCTCAAAAAGAGAAACCCACCGGACCCGCCGTCGGACGACGACAACGATGCCGACGAGCTTCTGGGCGCAACGGGACCGCTGCCGCCGACTGCTGCTCTCCCCGCCGCCGCGCCAAAAACAACAGGCCGGCGCGGAGGCGACTCCAGCTGCGGACGAAGGGTGGCAACGAGTGGCAGTTACATTGGAAAAACCAAACGACATGTCTCGGACCGCATCCGTGAACATAAAGCAGACTTGAAACACGGTAGGACAAACACCTCAGCCGTGGCAGATCACTGTTACTATTCAGTCGGCTCACATGATATTGACTTCTCCAAGACAGAGGTTCTCTGCAAGCCATCTGGCTACCATGAGAGATTCGTTCATGAGGCGATCCACATATACAAACACAGACAATTTCAACCGAGAAGATGGATTCTGGCTCAGCAATGATTGGAAGGACGTATTACACCATTTCGGATCTTAACTGATTGTGTTCACATTTACGATGACTTTCAGACCGCAGTCCACTCACTGACATTGACTATATAGCTTGTATTCTCCGCAGGGAATGGATTCTTTGCTCCGCTGCAAGCTTCCTATCACCACTCTCCCATTGACATATTTCGTTGCTTCCTCTTAGTACCTTTCACGCGACGGTCAATGGTATAGTGCAGGGGTCGGCAACCAAAATAACAAGAAGAGCCATTTCTTTCCAATTCGGTAAAAAATTCAGTATTTCAAGAACCGCAATGCATCTGAGTACATACGTACTCATCGTCAAGAAGCAGCCCGTAAAGAGCCGCATGCGGCTCCAGAGCCGTAGGTTGCCGACCCCTGGTATAGTGTATCACATATTGTATAATAATAAATAGTATTAAAGTGTAATGTTTAATACAATGTATAAGGTAATATATAGTATCGTAATTGTATAGTGAATATATAGCAGTGTGGTATACAGTTGGGTGGGTAGAATAATACATAGTGTAATATTACAATGTATAGACTATAAGCATATTAGTTGCTGCGGCGCCATATTATTAACATTTCTTCCCTTTATTAATTCTAACCTTACTCCCTCCCTTTGATACTGCTAATCCTGCATAATGCATGGGCATAATGACTTTAAACCCCTCGCTAAACCTCCTACGCATTTCACAAGTAGTGCTAATCGCATATCTGCATTTCCTATAAATATGCTAAATTCCTCTTGATATGCAAATTATTTTGTCAAGATGCTCTTCGCCCCTCCATCCCAGCATAAATAGTCACTCCAAGCCTGGGGCGTGCCATCCAGACTGTCTCCTCGACAGACCTGTTCTCCACCTGAAGACATTTTAAATATTTTATTATTTTCCTTCTACGTGACTTTACCGAAAGAACCAAGAAGATGAATCCCTGCAGTCACGAAAGCTTTAAATCGAAAATTCAAGAATTTGTCGCCGGAGGTGACTGGAGCGCATTTACGTGGAGATTCGAATCCGCCTTCCGATCGGTGCGGTGGACGGACTCCGAGGCACTGGAGGCTCTACCTACGCTGTTGGATGACGTGTCCCTGGCCATTTTCCGCTCCATCCCGTCGAGTAGGAAGAAGACGCTAAAGGACGCCTTCGCTGAAATGGCGGAATTTTACGAGCCGCCATCGGCTGCCCACAGAAAATGTATGCAGCGACGTCGGGGGCCGGAAGAAACGCCTCTGGTGTACCGTGGTACGCTATTAGCGCTCGCTATGGCCGCCTACCCCGAGTCCTCCGCCGACCTCCTGGACTCTCTCATTCTTGCAAGAATGATTGAGCTATCGCATCTCACTGCCGGTGTGCGGCCATGAGCCGCTGACGTCTCGCTGGGCGGCGCGATGTTTAGACGCCAAATTAAATTTGCGACGTTGGGACCAAATGGCGGCATGGACGGGGGGGCCCCAAAAAGGACGGTGAACCGCTGGGATGGGCCCCGCGTCGCGTCATGCACATTCCGGACGAGTCCAGCGACGACGACTTGGTGGCTGTTGCTCCTCGCTGGACCCCGCAACGCCGGCAGGACACGCAGCGCGACGGGGCCGGACGGTCACGAGCGGGGGCCGAGGCGACCGACCGTTGGGCGGCCGCCACATGCTTCAAGTGTGGCCGACTGGGCCACTTGGCCCGCGATTGTAGGAGGCGGTTAAGACCTCCGCAGCTCCCGTCGGCCCTTCCTCCATCTCCTCCACCGAACGCGGATCGACATCATTCTCGGGCAAGTCGGCACGCATCGGGCACCCGGCAGGTCCCAAAACCTCAGGCATCCACTCGCACCCCCGTAGGCTTATCGGATATTAATTGTCGGCATGCTGATTCGGTACCGCACACGGTTACTCGGTGGAAGAAATTGGCTCGAAGGGTGGTTGCAGCCGCATCGGGGTCCTCCAAGGTGCTGGGCACTATTCAAGGGGTAGACGTGCGTGTTTTGGTGGATACCGGTTCATCGGCAACCATCATTTCGGATTAAATTTTTCATTTGTTATCCATCCCTGCGTCGCGGATCCAGCCGGCTAACGACGCATGCATTGCCGCTAATGGGGGTGGCATGGGTATCATAGGACGGGTAGATGTCCACATTGCCATAGGGAATGTTGCCGTGTTGGGTTCGATTCTTATTTCACGATCGTTGGCAGTTCCATGTCTGTTTGGGCACCGATTTTCTTCGTCGGATGCCTGTTAAAATCCTTGTTGATCAGGGTTGTTTAGAGATGCCAGGGGGCCGTAGGATGTCTTTCCTGCCATCCCTGTGGGGCCGGCCGCCTCCGGGGAATGCCGTTCACGCGCTTGCCGATGTCACTGTGGAGATACCCCCGGGTACACAGATGCTCATCCCGCTGCGTTACCGGAAGCAGTTGGAGGCCGCGGATGGGACGGCGGGTGTGTTACTGTCCCCGTCGAACTCCGTGGCTAAGGCCTTCTCCCTTGTCGCGGCTCAAACTATCGTTCGGGCTGGGCAAGCCCCGTTTTTACAAGTGTTGAATGGTGGCCCGGAACGAGTGGTCGTTCCGGCTGGTGCGGTACTGGCCCATGCCACTACCGACTTCACTAGCCTGGATGGGGACCAACTGAGAGTAATGTCTGCCGGCATGTCTCGGGCCACTTATTCGAACGATCGATGGATCACCGAATTGTGCCGTGAGAATACGTCTTTGGCCTCCACGCAGCGGAACGCATTGCGTTCACTACTATCGAAATACGCCGACGTCTTCAGTAAAGATGACTTTGATTTGCGCCATACCTCGCTCTTGTCACACCATATTGACACCGGTGCGGCAGGACCGATATGTATACACCCGCACCGCATGAGCCCTGCGGAAAGGGAACACGTGCGTGGCGTGGTGGACGACATATTGGCGGCCGACAGTCCTTGGGGCGCACCAGTGGTGTTGGTTAAAAAGGACGGCGAATTGAGGTTTTGTGTTGACTTTCGGCGGTTGAATAAAATATCCGTGGCAGACGCGTACCCCTTGCCACGGATGGACGATTCGTTGGACGCCTTGTCGGGGGCCATTTTCTTTTCTTCTCTTGACCTCTCGTCGAGTTTTTGGCAACTCCCCCTCGATGATGCGTCGAAGCCGAAAACGACGTTTCGCATGACGCAGGGCTTGTTTGAATTTAATCGCCTACCCATGGGCTTCAATGCCGCGCCGGCGACGTTCCAGCGCCTGATGGAGTTGGTACTAGCAGAGTTACAGTGGGAGACATGCCTCATATTTGGATGACATTGTATTCAGTCGCACCTTCGAAGAACACCTTCAATGGCTGAAGGCTGTCTTTCAAAGAATGCGATCGGCCGACCTCAAATTTAAACCGAAAAAATGCCATTTGTTGCAA